GAAGCTCGACCTCAGCATCATGAGGTTATGAGTCCAAGTACTGCGGGCGCGACTGCTGCAGCTGGTGCTGAGGGCATACAGGGAGCGGGCGAGCAGGTGGCGGTCAGAACAATGGCTGTCGCGATGTCTGCAGCGAGTGGATCTCCTTCAGGGAATCCCTGGCTGCCGGAGACAATGGTTGAGCAAGTGCACCACGGACAAAACTGGGGAATGCAGATGGAGGGTTTCCAAGAAGCTCAGAATGCAGCTCAGGCGTCGTGGTCGGTTGCAGCTACAAGGAGGACTATGCCCTTGTGGATTCAGCGGCTTGGCGCTTTCTTTCAGGAGGTTAGATCGCACCAACAGAATGGTCACACAGTGTGGCCTTCTCCTATGGCTACACCCCCGCGGAGACAGCTAGCGTCGCCAATGACGGATCCTGGTCCTACAGCAGAGGCTCCTTTGTTTGACAGGCGGCAGAGGGAGCAGGCACGGCAGATGGTGCGTCGTGCCCCTCTGTTGTATGGGGCCACTGCGGCCGCTCAACAGGAAGGGAGCTCCGCGGGAAGCAACTACGAAACGGTTCAAGAAGAGGTTCGAAGACAGCTGGGTGGTGTGATCAGTCAGCTGGAGGCCTCTCGCCGCGAGGCGAACGATCTACGTGACCAAGTGGCCGCTCTCCAACAACTCCGCCCTGATGGAGAGCGTGCAGCCATGAGGGAGCCTACAGGTCCACCCCAAAGTCTTGGAGGATATCTACATGCGAGTGCAGCTGCAACAGACCAAGGAGCAGCCAAGCAGGTACCTCCTATGCCAACGGGATCGGGCTTACAGGCAGGTTCCACTATGCCAATGGGATCGGGCTTACAAGCAGGTTCCACTATGCCAATGGGATCGGGCTTACAAGCAGGTTCTACTATGCCACCGGGATCGGGCTTACAGGCAGGTTCCACTATGCTAATGGGATCGGGCTTACAAGCAGGTTCTACTATGCCACCGGGATCGGGCTTACAAGCAGGTTCTACTATGCCATCGGGACCGCTTCAGCAATCAGGACCGTCTCAAGGACAGCCCAGCTTGACTTTGCCGGGGGTGACGAGTGCCCAGGGCTCATCTACGGCGCCGCCAGGCGGAGCGGGAACAACAACTGGAGCTGGAGATCCCTTGGATCGCCTACTACAGGGCTTGGAGAAGGTGATCAAGGGAACGAAGCCTGAGGAGATTTCCAAGTCTGTGGTGGATGCACCAAAGTTGCCAGAAGTTACGGAAACAAGCGCTGTGGACTTTGGTGATTGGCTGCACTGTGTGGAGAATGTCATGGGTGACCTCAGCGCGAACAGTGCGGAATGGTGGAAGGGCGTGGTAGAAGATGCAATGGACTACTACAAGAAGTACCAAGAGGCGGACCAGTTTGGGCGTCTGGCCCTGAAGCCGGAGCCCAGCGTCGATACAGTGGACTCAAAATGGTCGCGTGTTGACAGGAGAGGGGCCAGCATTTTGCTGGCCTCAACGCCAGAAGAGATCCGCCGTGATCTTGTGGCAGCAAGAGCAAGGACCACTCTGGAGATCCTCGCAAGGCTCATGATCGTCTACAGGCCAGGGAGCGCTACAGAGAAATCAATGCTGCTTCGCAAGGTGGAGTCGCCCGAGCCGGCCAAGAGGCCATAGCAGCGTTGCGCCAGTGGTCCAGGTTCTACCAGAGGGCCAAGGACCTAGGTTTGGCGACACCAGACCCCAGTATCTTGTTGAGGTCCCTGGAAGGCATGGTGAAGCGCCCTGTCAGCGAGCACAACGACATCGCTTTCCGCATGAACCTAATCAGGTACCATCTCAGGGTGGACTTTGCTCCCAGTGAAACGAATGTTCTAGCTATCCACCGTGCCTACCTGGCGGAGTTTGAGCAGCTTGGCCACAAAAGGGGCAACAAGGTCAAGGACGAGTCGAGTGGACAAACGCAGGCTAGAATCAGGGCCGTGGAAGCACCTCCGGGATCTATACCCATGCCGAGCTCTACGCCAAAGAACGGCGCTAACAAGCCGTGCAGGTTCTTCTCATCGGACGAAGGCTGCCGGAGAGGAAAAGCCTGCAAGTTTGAGCACCCCAAGCTGAGTAAGTCTGAGGCCAAGGACCGTTGTTTCGAATGTGGAGGGCGCGGACACATGTCTTCGGCGTGCCCTACAAAGCAAGAACGACCGCAGCAGCGAGCTCTGTCGATGAACGATTCGCCTCAGTCATCTACGGGGGGAACCGGCAATAAGAAGGGCAATGCTCCGAGAGGTCAAGTCCCGAGAGGGAACGACGTTGTCCAAAGTAGTCCGGGTGCGGAACAGTCCTCTTCTGCGACTACGGCAACAGATGGACAGGCTACAACCGAGGCACCAGTTCAGGGGGTCCCGGTCGAGCAGCTCATTGAGGACGCTCAGAAGCTGATGAAGGCCTTCATGGAGCAGAAGAGCGGCCCCACCGTGCGAGTGTTCAGGGTGGACGAGCCTCAACGAAGCGCTGATGGTTCATCCCCTGCGTTGAAGGAGTTGCTCAGGCAAGAGGAGAACTTCGGCAGATTGTGCCGGATGCGGCTTCTTGATTCAGGCGCTACGCATCCGTTGAGAGCAAAGACAGCGGGTGATATACCAGCAGGGCTTGGCAGCGTGAGTGTGACATTAGCAGGTGAGACCAGGGTGAAGATGGACCAGAACCGGGCCGGCACTATCTTGGGAGATGAGGGTACACAACCCATTGTCCCATTGGGGACACTGGTGAAGGCGCTGGGTTATGAGTTCGCATGGGACAAAAGAGGTTGTCGTCTGAGGCACCCAACCAAGAAGGAGGTCAAGGTCTACACAAAGTCTACGTGCCCTGAGGTTTCGCAGTGTGATGCACTTCGGCTTATTGCAGGGCTCGAAGAAGCGAAGCTGACTGAGACGATGGAGTCGTTGGCTAAGCTCAAGGCGTCCATCTGCGCTTCCAAGACCTACAAGGAGCGGGACTGGACCGACAATGTGAGGGACTACATGCTCACAGGAACCCTTGAAGATGGTTTGAGAGCTGTTATGGGAGCACCGTTCATGAACCATGTACCTATGGAGGATCAGCTCAAGGTCGCTGTGGACATCCCTACCACGGAGCAGGACGCTTGGAAGTGGATGAAGAGTTTTCCCCTCAACCGCTCAAGGCACCGACAGCTGTGGCAGGCGCAACAATGGACAGTACACTTGTTTTCGGGCAATGGGGTCAAAAACGACCCTCTTCGTGATCTGCCGGGCTTGCTGGAGATTGACAGCAGGAAGGGGTGGGATCTAAAGAATGAGAAGATCTATGGTGTTCTTCTTTGGGCAGCCAAGGAGGGACGGATCAAGCACGTCTTTGGTGGCCCTCCTGGAGCGACCTACTCACCTCTACGCTTCAGGCAGAATGGAGAGCAGGGGCCCAGGGCAGTGAGGTCAATGCATGAACCATGGGGACTCAAGGAGGGACTCGGGGTGGAAGATGAAGCCCGGGTTAGAAATGAGAACCAGGTGTTGTTCAAGATGATTTGGCTCTGGCTATGCGCGGAGGCGGCGGTCGAGAACCAAGAGTCTGGAGGACCCCATGTGGGTTTCTGCCTAGAGTTTCCAGAGGACCCCAAGCTTTACATGCCAGAGGGACCCCATCGCGATGCTTGTGTGTCTGTATGGAGCACGGAGTTTATGAGGCGGTTCGTTGAGGAGACGGGCATGGTCAAGTTCCACTTTGAGCAAGGAGCCCTCGGACATGTCATGAGGAGGCCTACGTGCTGTTTGAGCAACCTGGGACTGGGTATCAATGGCCTAAAGGATTCCAGGTGTTGGACCTCAAAGGAGGATGGCCAAGATGTGGACCAGACGATTTGGCCCCATGGCTTTCGAATCACCTTGGCGGACGCTATCCACGAGTGGAACAATGCCCTGAACCGAGCGGTGGTGAAAAAGGCGATGTCAAAGACTGAAATGGCAGAGTGGAAGGCCCACGTGGAACGTGGACATTGGCCTTACAGACGTGACTGCTCGGTGTGCCTGGCAGCCTCAGGTACCGGGCGCCCAGCCAGGCGGGTTGTCCACAGGGATGCCTATGCTATGAGTCTGGACATTGCTGGGCCATTCGCGGATCGTGGCAGAGATGAAGTGAGGGGGAGGAGATACAAGTTTGTTTTAGCGGCAACGTACCTCTACCCCAAAGTCAGAGATGTTCCGGAGGATGAGCCTTTGGATGAGGAGGAGGGCCTGGACGGGTTTCTAGCCGATGAAGAGGATTCCGAGGTGGAAGAACTGGACCCGGTTGATGAGGGGGAAATGGACGCCCAGGAAGAAGAGTGGAAAAAGAAGGTTGAAGGGCTTAAGCAGCCTATGGAGATGCAGATGCTGCGTTTCTGTGTACCTCTGGAGCGTCACACCGGCAAGGAGATTCTGGAATGCATTCAGGACTTGTATGTGAAGATAAGGGCGATGGGGCTACCTTTGACTCGCATTCACAGTGATCGGGCAAGGGAGTTCAGAGTCAAGCCGGTGAAGAAGTGGTGTCGGGAGAGGGACATCTACCAGACGTTCACAGAAGGTTTGACGCCTACCCAAAATGCTGTGGCGGAGGGTCATGTGAAGTGGCTCAAGGCTCAAGCTCGAGTACGACTTCAAGCAACAGAGATGGACAAGGAGCTCTGGCCCTGCGCGATGAAGCATGCTTGCCAGGTGCACAACGCCAGGCAACTTGGATCAAAGATCCCAGACCTCAAGTTTGGATCGGTCGTGTGGGTGAAGTCAAAGAAGGACCGTGGACCTTTTGACCCCCGATGGGAGCGTGGAGTCTACATGGGCCCAGCAGATGATGTAAGAGAAGGACATGTTGTTCGTCTGGATGATGGCTTGTGGCTTCGGACATTGCATATGCGTACGGTGAGAGATGATGAGATCGATGAGGAGGATGAAGCCGAGCACGTGGTGGACCTCATTGAACCTACTCGCCGTGTGAGATCCAAGACCAAGCTAAGTGACCCGGAGATCCATGCGATGAAGGTCGGCGAACGAAGGGTGTTGGTCGACAAGTTGTTGGCGTCACCTATGTGGGAGTCCAAGGAAGCTAAGGTTGAAAGGCCACAAATGAAGGAGGGCGACGTGTGGGACGGAGCGGCCTACTTGAACTTGGGAGCTTACCAGCATGGTGGGATTACAAGCATCACGGCTGCCACGGAAAGGTTTGCGCAAGAGACGGAGTTGGCGGCTAAGTTGCTTGCGCTGGACCACCCTGACAAGGTCTTCACGTCGATCGCCTTGGTAAAGAATGCCTTGATGCCGGTACACAAGGACTCCTTCAACCTCAAGTCCACGGTGAACCTTATCTCCCCACTAAAGACCGCAAAGGGAAGCTACGTCTGGCAAGAAATGAGGCCGGGCGACGAGTTCTATGGCAACTATGCTTCAATGTGGGTTAATGGGAAGGAAGTCCCGGGCCAGAAGTTTAGCATCGAGAAGCCGGTTACTGTAAGACCTGATCGTCTACATGCTCCAATGAAAGGGGACGAGGGAGATCGGGTCGTCGCAATCGGCTACACAGTGAGCAAATGGGAAAAGCTTATGGACCATCAGTGTGAGGATCTGAAGGCCCTGGGCTTTACAATGCCGGAGAGAAGTCCGATGCTAAAGATGATGAATGTCAACAACAGAAGGGGCAGACCACCTACTCCACCGATCCCAAGTTCGGAAGCGCCCACGACAGCCCCGCCTACGGGTACTATGACTATGTCAGGAAGAGGGTTTTTGGGACCAGGTTCTTCCAGTGAATCTACGTTGCAAAGGCCGAGTACAGAAGAGAACATGGATGTTAGCTCAGCGACTCCAGCACCGCAGAGCCTTCAAACGTCCTCGTCAGACTCAGGACCGAGGGCAAGAGAGTACCTGCCGGAGATGAGTGGAGAGCGCTTGGACAGCATGGTTGTTCCAGGTGGACGAGTTGAGCTGCGTCTGAGGTGGGCAATCAAGTACTGCCCGGACAATCAGTATGCGGAGGAGGTCGTGATGACTTCTACGCCATTGCTGCCTTTGGGATATGAGGAGGAGCAGCGAATGAGGAGTCGAGTCACGTGGCTATCGGAGTTTGTGGAAGAGGAGCGACAAATCAGAGCTCGCCAAGCGGAGCGTGGTGAGTATGCCACGCAGAGAGAAAGAGTGCTCTTCTACAAGCTCGATGAAGCGATCGACTACATGAACGAGTTGCTATCTCGGAGCCATCAAGTCCGAGAAGAAGGGAACGTGAACCTTATGGCTCTCAGTGCCACGGTGGAGCCCAGCCTCGAGATTGAGAGTATGCTTCAAGGGCTAACACAGCCCTTGGAAACCGTGCATGGTGTGGAGCTCGCTGAGGTGAAGCGGAATCTTGGTGAGTGGAAGGAAAGCATCCACAAGGAGGTGTCTACGCTCTTGGACTCCGGTACGCTTCGAACTATTCCTTTGGCGGAGGCCAGACGAAAGGTGCAGGCGGAGGAGATTGTTCTTGTTCCGGCCAAAACGGTACATACAGTCAAGCCACCAAACAGTGGTTCGGAAGGGATGTTCAAAAGAAAGAGCAGACTGGTCATATGCGGCAACTATGTGAACAGCGATGTGGAGGTCTATACGGCAGCGGCCAATGCGGAGTCGATTCGGGTTTCCCTGTCGTATGCAGCCAAACAGAAGTGGCACGGAGCCATCACGGACGTCAACGCAGCGTTCACGCTTACGCCCATGGAGGAGTCTAAGGTCAAGTACGCGATCACCGTGCCGAAGGTGGTAGTTGATGCAGGCTGTGTCCCTCCGGATAAGGCGTTCATGGTGGATCGAGTCCTTTATGGACTCAGAGAAGCCCCAAGACTGTGGGGAAGCTTCAGAGACCGCAGAGTGGCCAAAGCACGTCTGCAGATGGGTGGAAAGGACTATATGTTCTTACAAATGGAAACAGACCCAGCAGTGTGGCGCTTGGTGGCTTGTGATGAGATTACAACCACGAAGGCCCTCATGGTGATCTATGTGGACGACGTGATGATGTTGGGGCCTAAATGCCTTATTGAGGGCATTTACAAGTGGATCACTGAGGATGATGACAGTGGGAAGGGTTGGAAGTGCTCAACAATGGAGTGGCTGGGACGCGATCCTGTGAGGTATCTGGGAATGGACGTCAGAAGAAAGGAGACTGAGGACATCACCAGTTTTCATATCTCTCAGGGGAGCTACGTGCAGGAGTTGCTCAAGAGCTACCCGGAGGAGGCAGCACGACCTTCCCAAGTCCCGGCGTCTAGGGAAGTGATGCCAACCGAGGATGAGGAGGAGCGTGTTCTCGCTCCTTGTGATGAGAACCTGGTAAAGCAAGCTCAGAAGATGGCAGGAGAGCTTTTGTGGCTGGTCACCAGGACCCGTCCAGATATTGGGTTCTCGACAGCTCATGTCTGTGCGGCGGCTACCAAAAACCCTCAGGCGGCGATCAAGCTGGCGAAGATGACACTAAGGTACCTTGCAGCTACGCCTGGAATGGGACTTCAGTACAATGGCCAAGGGGTTCCTGTGGAAGCGTATTCGGACGCAAGCTTTGCACCTCAAGGAGATCGAAGCTTCGGGTGTGTCACTACGGCGACCTTCGGAGGTTTTGCGGCGTGGAGGATGACCAAGCAACCTACAGTGGTTTTGTCAGCAGCGGAAGCAGAACTGGTGGAGCTGCTGAATGCCAGCCAACAAGCAGCAGGAATCCAGGCTTGGGTTAACGAGGTGTCAACAGAAGATCAAGACTACCCCGTGGCTCTTCGAGTGGACAATACAGCTGCATGTGGACTGGCAACTACATCACCAGGTTCGTGGAAGACAAGACACTTGAAGGTAAAAGCTAGTCACTTGAGGATGGAAACTCAGCAAGGACGTGTCAAAGTGATTCACACACCGGGAGATGTGCAGGCAGCAGACATGGGCACAAAGCCGCTGCCCGCCGCACGGCTAGGGGATCTACGACGGCTTTGGGGAATGTGCACGGCCGAGGAGTTCGATCAGGCAGACCAGAAGGTGATCATAGCCAGCTTGAAGGGCCCCGACTACTATGACTTGATGCGGATGTTCGTTTGGGTGATGCTACTCTCGAAAGTGCCGGAGCTACACATCAAGAAGCCCATCGATTACGACGGGAGCATCGAGTTCTACACGCTACTGGTGGTAGCAGGAATTGCGCTCGTAGGCGTGTGGGAGTTGTTGAAATGGGTGGCCCACAAATGCTTTGGGGAAGACGACGCGGCTACAAGCAAGGCTAGAAGACTGTTGAAGATACGGAATCAAGCATCCAAGGCCTTGCAGGAGGAGCTGGCATCGATGACGAGCTCGAGCTCTTCGGATCCTATTCTTCCCGAAGCAGATAAGAAGGCTGCGGTATCCACTCCAAGGTTGGCCGCAGCTACTACGGTTGAGCATCCTATGTCCACCTCTATGACTTCAAGTGCACCAATGAGAACCAATATGAGAATGGATGATGATCCGGATCTACGTGAGGCCTTGACTTCAGCGAGGAAGGGTGATTTCCGGCGTTTGAGGACGGCCTTCGTAATGTCAGAGCATGGAGACAAGCTACACCTACAAGAGGGATGTCACGGCCTACGTCATGCTAACAAGAGCAGACTCAAGAAGTTGCAGATGTGCTACTACTGCGACTCCAACTTCCCGCTTTCCTACCGAATGATCGGAGGCCAGATCCCTGAGGGCTAGGTGTGCACCGGAATGACATTTGGGCTTGCACAGCTCCAAACGAGGAGGAGTGATGATGCACAAGAAGCCCTCATGAGGTTTGAAAAAGCCCTTGATGCTGTATAGCGATGATTTGTCAAATTTCGGCCCAGGCTGGCTGCGGTTGGACGCCTTGGGCATTACAAGTACAGCATAGTAGCAGCACTCGCTTTGTACAACCCCCGAGAGCAGCTTTGTTGCTGGTGTGTAAAACAGGGGACCGAATTCGCCGAGCCGCCATGGACTCGTCCACTGGCGAGCCTAACTATGACTCTGCTTTGCCTCCTCAACCTGTAGAAGCTCGACCTCAGCATCATGA